TATATATATATATATATATATATATATATTATACAGTTTAAAATGTTATATTTTGCTACGACTGAAATAAAATAGATATTAGTAGCTATAAATTTTATTGTTATTAATATACAAATTATTAAGGTATTCTGCCGAATCTAAAATACAATATAACAAAAAGACGAATTATACTTAAGATCTAAGTAAAAGATGAAAATTATAAAAGAACCCTGAAAAGGTGTACAGACCAAATCTTGTATAAAAAAAAAAAGAAACGTAAAGCTACCCTGATATGGTTCCAAGTTGGAAGGGTTAAATCTAATTAACTCGAACTGGAACAGGGTACAAGATGCGTGTAATAAACATGTAAATAATGAACAGTAAAATCTGTTTTATGTCGTGTCAAACAGTTTCCTTCTAATGAGAGTTCAGATCGATCCAGCATACGTAGAAGGAAAGATGACGCGACATAGAAGAAAACTTAAAGTATTAACAATTCAAGTATATAGCAAATTTCTCAGTAAAATCGAACAAACAAAACAAAAATGAGAACGTACGAGAGTAAAGTTATTAAATGTCATGCCAATGCCTCTTAAACTTTCCCATCTATAAATACATAATTGATCCGTACACACTCTTAATTGTACCTACATGTATTTTAGAAAGGGTGACAGTCGAATCAGTAGACACTTGTTACATGCAAATCTGATTTTTCTTTTTTTTCATGTAATACATATATGACCAAAATAGAAGCTATTTTTAATTGTAGATTCTCAAATAGACTAGAAACTTAAAAGTAAAGGTTTACAAAATTTTGTTTCTCTTCACCGTGTAATGCCAGTTTAGCGTTATTTAGACCGCTACGATCGATACAAACATTACTACCGTTTTTTTGCTTTTTTCTTTTTTGTTTTTCTTTCTTTCCATATCGTAACATTCTTGTTGCGCTGAAAATCTTGTCCAAGTTGCGTCCAAATCTTCATCGTTCGTGTTTCTATCAGTCTTTAAAAAAGTAATTAGACTTTGTATTCGCTTTGAAAGAATACAAATCAGCTTACGACGGGAACAAAATACAGATCTTGTCTCTTGCGAATTTCTCTATTACAAAGATGTATAGCGATACACTTTCTGCGACATACATCATGAGTATCGTAATACACATCACTAAACTTTCTACATTCTTCATCGACGTTCAATATATACAAAATTGAATAAATAATCGAGCAATAATTACTGCTACGTACTACCGATTTTTTTTAAATTTTCATCGTATAATCATGGAATTTCTCAATATATGTATATACAACACGTAAAGTGAATAGGAATGATATATCAGGATTTTCGGCTATGTCACATATTTTAATTATACCTCTTTAAAAAAACTCGGGAGGAGATAATAAAAACTGCACTGCCAATGCACA